TAGAAAAGAATGCCATGACTGATTATTGACATCTGCCATAGGAAGAGAAAACGCAATACATGGGTCAGATATGTGTTTTTTCCTCTGTTCAGTAATCAGTCCATTTCAACCCTATGAACCCCCTGGGAAGGATGTACATGGAGAAAATAAGAATATGGATACCTACCCAGTAATCAGAACAGAGGAATCAATCCTAATACCAACGTATGTTCCTTCCAGTTGTCTCATTGTTAACTTCTTTGTAACCCCTAAAGCTATATGAGGTCTGTCTGGAAAAATCCCAGCTGTTGTTAATATAATGAGAACAGTTTGCATGACATCAGTGTAATCTGGCAGCCAAAGAGAGTGGACTGGAATGCATATGTGTGAACAATGAGGACTTCACTGTGCTAGTCAGTCCGTCGCATTCAAAATGACTGAGCGAGTAGAGCTATGTATCTACATCGTATTTTGCATTAAGCTTGAACATTCCTCCATGGAAACTAATGGGATGATTCAGAAGGCTGCAGCTGTGGGCAACAGGTGATTGGCAGCTTTGTCATAAAAACATACATGCTCATGCATCACATCTGGTGCAGAGATTTTTGGTGAAACATTAAATCACCCAGGTGACTCAACCCCCCTCCAGCTCAGATTTGATGCCCTGTTACTTCTGTCTTTTCCCAAAACTAAAATCACCTTTGAAAGGGAAGAGATTTCAGACTGTCAATGAGGAAAATATGACGGGGCAGCAGATGGTGATTGTGAGAACTGTGTGAGGTCCCACAGTGCCTACTTTGAAGGGGACTGAGGCATCATCATCCTATATATAACGTTTCTTGTATCTTGTATTTTCTTCAATAAATGTCTCCATTTTTCATATTACATGGCTGGATACCTTCTGGACAGACCTTGTATATATCTAGTATGTACTCAGTAAAGACAATAATTGATGGAAATTAGAATATAAATAAATACTTTCACAACAGAACTGCCCCATCCTTCTTTGTAACCGTAGCTCAATCTCAGTAGTTGGCACTTAGCAGGTGTTTTAAAATTCCTTGTGGAAGAAAAATATTATTTCCAAAGCATGGCCATGAATCTCCAGATTATCAATGCACAATCCCATCTGACATAAAATGGGGGATATTGTAAGATGACTATATTACATAAGTATAACGTCCTCTATATTCTTTGACTCACCTCTCAGAGTTGCCCAGATGGCATGAAAGAAAAAGGGGGATTCAGAAAACTATCCTTTAGCATTTGGGATTTTATGAGTCAAATTGCAGGGAAACTCTGACTTCGTGTGGACTTACATTTTGTATGTCATTCTTCTTCCATAAGCTCAGTTTACGTGATGTCAGGAGTTCCGGAAGTTAAAATTGTGTGGGGGATGGATCCAATACTGACTCATACTGTGTGGAAGAAATCTACACCAAAGTCTGGATGAGATAATTTGGTGTGAGTGCTAGGGATATGACTGCTGATCGCAGAGGAAAAAGCGCAACCAACGTGTAAGTTTTGTCTTACGACTTCCTACTCAGTTAAGGATAGCATGAGATATGATCGAAAATCTTGCTGACGCTTAATGCATAACTCTAGCCAGTTTTCAGAAAAAAAGTCTGGCTGAAAAGAAAAAAGAAAGTTTTCAGCCCCTTTGTTTTACTAATATGGTCACACATTGGGTCCTGGTGGGTTTGAAAAACTTTGAGAAGGTATCTTGGTGGTGAATTATTCTGCAGCCTCAGTGTTGGCTGAACCAACAAAGTGTGAAACCTCTAGTTTGCATGTGCAACCTAAGGTGTTTTACTGGCAGAAAAGAGAGAGAAATGTCTTCTCTGGCAAAGTTTATAAGATGGGAAAAAATCATAAAAGAATATCCTAATGCAGTGACAGTATTGTGAATGACCGAATTGTGTGTTGAAAGAAGAAAATCTAATACCATAAAATTCACCTCCTGCCTGGGGTGCAGGGCCAGTTACATAATTTGCAGGAAGCAGTGCAAAATGAAAGTGGGGGTCCCTTGTTGAAAAACTTAGGAATTTCAGGAAGGTGACAATAGAGCATTCAAACCATTATGGGATGTTCTAAATAAAAGTGGGGTCCTGATAGATGGTGCAGGTTTCATGTCCATGAATTTGAGCCTGCTAGGATTTCTCACCAAGCATTTCAAAACTTTTATTTGAAGTCTTACTATTTTTTTAATAAAAAATTTAAAGAGTAACTATTATCTCACAAATTCTACCGAAAAAAAGTCCAGAAACCAAAGCCTGGTAAAATATAATGATTTGAATTCACATATCTAACACAGTTCTAGGCACATACAAAAACCTGAATGGATACAGGCTCACAGGGGGACAGGTGGATTAGAGAAAGGGTCTTGGTTCTACACTCAGCTCTGCATTTTCCAATTGAATGAGTTTCAGCACAACACTTTGTTTTTCTGGGTTTTGATTTACAAATTTAAAAAGTGAGAGAATATACCATAAATAATCTCTAAAATTTTATAATCCTGTGTTGTGCTTGAAGATGCCATAAAGTGTCAATACAACTTGGATCCTAGACATCTTTTGCATACCGTGAAACATCTTTCTACTCCATACCTGTAATTTTCAGTAGGCATTCTCAATTTACAAATGCCTAGACAATATGCAATTCCTACTTGTGTATCTCATTATTCTTTATGCCTCAACCCCCAATACCACATTCCAGTGAATAAATCAAGGGAACAATTATAACTCCTTTCTAGAGAGTTAGGAATATTTTTTCCAGAAACTTGGCCACTGGTGTCCCAGAAAGTATTGAATGCCTACAGTGTACCTCAATGGTTTGATAAGGGTTTCTTGTTACTGTGTTACCTTTAAGCACACTACTTCGGCCATATTTTTCCTTAAGGACAGCTACGCTAGAGCTACACACTTAAGAGTTTTTCCACACTTTTCACTGGTTTAACATGACACTTCGGTCATGCAGATATGCTTTGATCTTGTTTATTCTTTGGGCAGGTAGCCTCTCAAAGACTTTTCAGGTGTTTTTCACATAAAACAATACACAAAATTGTCCCAGGAGCAGAATTTGGCTAACAACGTAAGCCTTATATTTCCAACATAATCATAAATTCTGTTTAATTAAACATTAGTTTCCCACAGGTTAGGGTTAATAACATAGGGATTAGAATTTGAGGGAAAATAACTCAAAGTATATCCTTAATTAAGCATTCAAATTCATATTTATTAGTGCTGTCTGTGGGCAAGCCTCCAGGCTGAAATGTTTTTAGGGAAGAAAATAGTGTTGTAGACGTAATGAAACAATTTTTGATTTTAAGGAACTTAGTCTAACATGGGAGACAACACATGAGTAACTAACTCTAATATGAGACTGAGGGATCTGAACTGTAAGAAAAGTATGAACCAAGTGCTAGGCTTGTGAGCTTAATTTTAAGAAGGGTAATTTTGGGAGAACACAGAGAAATAATGCTTTTTAGGCTGGGCTTGGATAATGGGCACCACCTTCAGGGGCACAGATGAAGGGAAAGAGATGAAGGGAAAGAGAGCTCAAGGCCAAAGAAATAGAATTGGCAAAAGTTCAGCCTGTGTTTATGGGAATGACTATCATCCAACATGCTCAAATAATAACAGGTAACTTTGAGTGAGTGTTTTCTACATATTAGGCATCTTAGCACTTTATATGTGTTGTGTGATTTAATTTTCAACTGAGGCCTGAAAGGAGATATTAATATTAGGCCTATTTTTGAGTCACAGATGCTCAAAATCACATGGCTAGATAGTAGGGGAGTCAGGATTCAAGTCTGCATCATAAATGTGATACTTCATTGCATGCAATACAGGTTGAAATGCAAGGTGGGCTCGAACCAAAGAGTGGCTGGCCTTCTGCATCATCTGAACGTGTTTTATCTCATAAATATATTACTGAGAGGAGAAAGAATTTTAATTTTTTGCACCTGGATGAAAAAGAAATTAAAAAGTTAAAAAAATTCTCCATTGTTAATAATTATTTGGAAAAATTGGCCATCCAGAACAATATTGTTCAACACAGTAGCCTCTAGCCACATTGGCTTGAGCATTTGAAATATGACAAGTATAAATTGAAATGTGCTGTAGGAATAAAATGTGTACCTGATTTCTAAGACTTAGTATGATAGAAAGAATGGATATAAAATATTTTAATAATGTATGTTGATATATATGGAAAAATTTTGAATATATTGGTTTAAATACAATACATTTTAAAAATTATTTTTACCTGTTTCTTTTTGCTTTTATTAATGGGGCTACTATAAAATTTTAATTTATCTATTTGGCTTGCATTAGATTTTTTTATTGAGCAATACTGGTTCAGAGCAATTTAAAGCTGTGGCATCTATTTTACTAACTCTGATAAAGGACTTCCTCACTACATCAGTCTTTTAACCACATTTTTCCTTGCTTTCTGTCTATTTGCAAGAAAAATTTCAAAAAGCACCCCCTTTGTAAAGGTTTGAGAGCCCCTAGAATTTCCTTTTCACTTGCTCCAGACCACAGACAAATGATCAATGTTCTCTCTCAACACGTTGGAGCCAAAAATTGACAAGGACAAGGGAGGAGGTGCAAAAAAATTTCCAATCCCTGAATGGTGTGAAGTAAAAGTGCTTTCTGGGGATCCCACAAGAATGGCATGGTGGGCATAATGGATCTGTCTCATCATCAAAAGACCCAAGAAGTTGAAAGGAAACTCTAACTACAACAGCAAAATGCCACAAAACCATAGTTATTAATACAAACTAACATCTCTGTCTATCTGTCACCATCTCATCTTAAAAAAACTTGTGAAAATACGTAATCCTGATGAGACTCCAATTAGGTATAAATACCAGCAGCAAAAGGAGAGGCAGTACATTTTTCTGATCATCTTCAGATTGGCTACTCAAAAGAGAAAGATCAGCTGAGCCCTTTGGACCTGATCGGCTTAATACAGGAGCTACTGATTTCAACGACTTTGGCCTAACTCTCTCCGAAACAATGAATTACACAAGTTATATCTTAGCTTTTCAGCTTTGCATGATTTTGGGTTTTTCTAGCTACCTCAGCCAGGCCACATCTACTAAAGAAATAGAAAACCTAAAAGAATATTTTGTAAGTATGACCTTTTAATAATATTTGTTTGTGTTTCAAATGACTGAACATCAACTTTGAATTTTATCTATGATAGGCTGTCATCTCTATTCCACAGTCATCTTGAGAAGACTTGGTGTTATTTTTACTGTTGACTGGATGAGTTTTTAACTAAATGATCTAGATTCTGCTTTAGCCCTCTACTCAATTTACTATCGAGACTAGGAGGGCATTCATGAATCTTTCAAAAGACGGGCATAATATGGGTATAAAACAAGATGATGTTGATACTTTTGTGGTAAAAATCCTTTCAATTGTGAGGTCAAGTAGCATATGTATTGAAAAAAATGACTTGGTTATTAATTTATGATTTCTCAGACTACCATTATGGTGATAGTAAAGAGTCAAGATTAGCATTAAAAATGATCATCTGAAACAATTAATCAATTAAAGAAGATAAGTTTCTTAAAGCTTTGGCTTTAAAAAATCACTTATAGGTGTTTTTCTCCACAAAGTGGTTTTAAAATTAACTACCCCATCTATATCTATAAATTACCCTTGAACTCAATCCCTTGCTGAGATTCTCTAGGAGTTATAATCTCACTTGTGGTAATTTTTTTAAATATGAATTTCTTTTAAAATTTTAGTTGCAGTAGTTTTTGCATCTTAAATATTTTATTATTTGTCCAAAATTTAGCTATTATAGTAACTATCCTACTTATATTCAAACTTTCACAAGTTATTATATTCTCACAACATCAAATCAAATCTCTCTCTCACACACACACACCTATCTTTTAAAGCTGACATAATATCAAATACGAGGACATAGGTAGATATTATAAATATCTGTACCATAGGGGGGCAGTATTTTACAGTGGGATAGTTGCTCATTTTTTCTACTAGGCTTGAAAACACTATTTTTACCTGTACGTATTTGAGACGATTGAAGTAACAGCCTTGTTGAGTTCATTTGTGACTATTCAATTTAAGGGATATACTAGAAAATAAGAGAGTTAAAATAGCAGAGCAGTTGTTGGCTATATCCAATATAACAGTTTTGGGAATACTTGCTAGAAGAAAACAGGGGGTTGAAAAGAAAATCGGTGAATATTTTCAGCATCTGAATGCAATAGAACTTGTATTTTTAGGGTAATTTATGAACTAATTATAAACCAATTTTTTCCTTTTTTTTCAGAATGCAAGTAAGCCAGATGTAGCAGATGGTGAATCTCTCTTCTCAGACATTTGGAAGAATTGGAAAGAGGTAAGCTGAATATTTCCATTTGGTTAATTTCCCTGTTGCTTATTTTCCGATGGATAAATTCACGTCAACCTCTCTTTGTACTCTTTCCTCCTAAGGAGAGTGACAGAAAAATATTCCAGAGCCAAATTGTCTCCTTCTACTTCAAACTCTTTGACTTCTTAAAAGATAACCAGAGTATTCAAAGTAGCGTTGACGTTATCAAGGAAGACATGCGTGTTAAGTTCTTCAACAGCAGCAATAGCAAAATGGAAGCCTTCAAGAAGCTGATTCAAATTCCGGTGAGTTTATCTTAATTCTTCCTTTGGTTTCATTGCAGAGGGTCTTGCAAAAGCACTTAATTCCCAGAAATTAGAAATTAGCTACTGGGTACAGTTGTTAAAACTATGAAATAAACCCATGGCCCAAATTTCTCCTTACTCGTTCCATTTGTGATTTTGGGTGATTTTTGTCAAGTCAGTATGGCAATTATTTAATTTTGTAATTTGGAAAAAAGCTGGCATTATGACTATTGCACAAAGGGGAATGGACAAATCCAGTGAGGAAGAAGTGGGAAAGAAGTTGAGAGAGGTGTTGAGAAGCAGTTCGCTTATTGCTCCTTGCTTGCGTGATGGAAATTCTCTTGTTTTGGATGGGAGGCTGCATGTCTTAATGGAAAGAACAGTAGGAGGGGAGAGATCTGTGCTCTTCTCTCAGCTTGACCACCAAAGAACTTGGTGAATTCAGATGAATCATAGGCCTGGCTCAGTTTCCCATCATAAAGGGAACCTGTTGGTTTCACTGTAGTTTCTATGGTCACATTGGCTCTAAATCTTTACAATGCCATGGATGGAAAATGAGAAGGAAGTAGGAGAAAGCTATGGTCTTTGAAAAGACACTAGGGGCATTCCACTGCCAGGCCCTGGTCAACCTCTCATATAGCGCAGCCCAAGAAAAGATTAGAGTATTTATTTGCTTTCAGAAAAGAAAATAGGTAGAATTTATACCTTCTGAAATAACTTTATCAGTTTTGGATACTAGACTATGCATATCAGCTGGAAAAATCCTTAGACTCTTAAGCTTTGTCTTAAGTTTTTAAAGCTTGAGTCTAGAAACTGCAAAATAAATTTGAAGTATAAAGACAAATCACCTTTACTAAAATTGTATCCAAGAGATGAAGGCCTCCAGATTCCTTTAGATTTGGCTTTGATATAAAAGAAATATGAGAAAGGGAGGGGTCATGATATAACTAGTACTATCAGGATTTGTGCCCAACTCTCACTATACCTGGAACTGAAATAAGTACTTGCTCTTCAGAATTTTTCTAGTCCCCAGTACATTAGATGGTACAAAAGTGGCTTGGAAAAAAACTTAGGACTATTACTACTTTCCACTCATAATGCTTTTCAGTGTTCAGCAGTTCTCCTTTGGCCACAGGCTAGAGACTTAAAAAGCACTTTTTTCTAACCCAGTGCTACCCTTGGTTTGTACCTATACCTGAATGGATCTCGTAGTTTCTTAGTGATACTTAATATACTGGAATATAAAATTTATCACTTCCAAACACACTGATAGGAACTTTCCCTATTTTGCCATAAGTAGGCCTTGAAAAAAAGTCTGTTGGTCCCCTCCTTCTGGAAGCTCTAAGCCTCCTACTTCATGATGGGCAACCTTGAGTAAGCTCTCAACCATTTTCCACTTTTACTTAATTATTAACATATTTAAGGCATGTTTTGCCTTTATGTGAATAGTCTTGCAGCCTAGAATCCCCCTAGTCATTCTCAGGTATGTGGCAGGTATGTGGTCGCACTGTTTCCAGCATTAGAAAGAAAGATAGTGGAGGAGCCCAGGTGAAAGTAAATGGTCCTCATTTTATGAAGCATGAATTCACCTAAATGTTCCTATTGGCTCGAGAGAGGAAATAATTCAATGTGCTGGAATAGAAGGCAGGGTACAGGGAAACTTGTTACAATTCTTAACTTTAAATGTTTATATTGGTAATTGCTTATTGCCATATAAAAATGATTTGTTGTATTTTAATCCCATTACAGAAATGATGAGACAGACATAATTAGGAGAAATTAAAAATTATAGTATTCATTTGTCTTGGACTTGGTATTTACAAGGTACTAAACCTATCTCAGTGGTTCTCAAACTTTGGTGGGTATCAGTGTCACCTGTGGAGCTTAGTGAACCACACAGTGACCTAGGCCCTCTCTGCCTTCATGAACCTGGGTTTCTGAGTTCTCCATGAGGTCTCCAGGTTATTCTGCTAGACACCAAAGGTGACAACCACTAACCTATATTAACTCAGTTGATACAGCAAAGACTAAAGTACAAAGATGACAGAAAAAACCCACATTTTTTGTCATTCCACATTAAGGTCTTTCTACTGTATAATTTTGAGAATTCTGGAGTAGTAAACTTAAGGACATATCATGTGCCCCTCCATAATACAGCATAAGTAGCAATTTAATTATAATTTTAGTCTTTACTACCAAAGAAAGCACTGCTGTATATTTACTGGCAATATATTGTCAGTAAAAACCATCTTTTTAAAGAAATACATCCATTTTCATGGATCATAACATCAACAGCAGAATATCCTGATGGCTTATATGCCTGAAATTAATTTTGCTGTGTTCTTTTCCAATAGGTAAATGATCTGATGGTCCAGCGCAAAGCAATACATGAACTCATCAGAGTGATGAGTGAACTGGCACCAAGATCTACCCTGAGGAAGCGGAAGAGGAGTCCGAAGCTGTTTCATGCCCGGAGTGCATCAAAATAATTGTCTTCCTGCTTGCAATGTTTGAATTTTTAAATCTAAATCTATTTATTATTTAATATTTTACATTATTTATATGAGGAATATATTTTAAACTCATGGCCAAAGTATTTATAATAGCAACATTTATGTAATGAAAATGAGTATCTATTAATATATGTATTATTTATAATTCCTGTATCCTGTGATTATTTTACTTGACATTTTTTTTTTTTTTTTCTGACTGATGAGACAAAGTTATGTGGTTATAAGGCTCTATCTTAGGGGCCAACTAAGATAGGTCTCTTGCAGCAGACCTAAGCAAGACCCTGTGGGTTGTGCATTTATTTCACCTGATGGTATAATAAACACTTAGAAATAAAATCACACCATCCAGTCGCTGCCTATTTGAGATCATGTCTGCGTTCTGAGCCACTGCTTTACTGCCATGTCACACAGACTTGAATGTGTAGGTCATATAACTTGTGCCCTGATAAAAACAAAGAATCTTATCTCACACCTGGTGCTTCAGAATATTGCTGACAATTATGACTGTATCCAAATGCAAAATATTTTGTTTTATCAATATTTTATATATGAATAAAGCATAATTTCATAACTATTCATGCTGTGTCAGACATTTTTTAAGTAAGGACTACGGTAAAAGTCCTACATACTAATGAATTATTGGAGGCAAAGTCAATTTCAGCTGTGGAAATCTTAGAATTGGATTAAATCCCATTAAATGTGGTGTTTCTCTCTGCCAGCAATTTGTTGGCTTCCACTCTCCATTGGGCAGCTCTCTAAGTTATCTTTCCATAATACAGATTTAGCTATGTTACCATTGATATCAGAGCTTCTACAGTGGAAAGTAGTCCAAATTGTTTAGCTTGGCACACAGAGATTTATTGATACTCTCTCCCTCAACTTCCCAATGCATCCTTCAACTTGGTATTCCCCATCTCTTCTGTCCACCTTGAGCAAACATCACTAGATATCAATAGTGAATGTGAGCTTTAGGGAGAGAGATCTGTATTAGAATCTTGGTTCTCCCATTACAAGCATTGTGATTTTTTAAAGAAGATTTTTTAAAATTATTTTTTAAATTTTTAAATCATATTTATTATATTACAGTTGTCTCAATTTTTCTCCCTTTACCCCCCTCCATCTAGCTCACCCCCACCCCCCACTCCCACAGTCAATTCCCAAGCTATTGTCCATGTCCATGGGTCATTCATACATGTTCTTTGTCTAGTCCCTTCCCCTTCTTTTCACCATTTTCCTCTTTCCTTATCCCCTCTGGTCACTTTCAGTCTGCTCCATGTTTCCATGTTTGTTAGTTTATTTTGTTGAATAGAGTCCACTTATAGGTGAGACCATATGGTATTTGTCTTTCATCAACTGGCTTATTTCACTTAGCTTAATATTCTCCAGTTTCATCCACGTTGTCACAAAAGGTAGGAGTGCCATCTCTTTCTTTCTTTCTTTCTTTCTTTCTTTCTTTCTTTCTTTCTTTCTTTCTTTCTTTCTTTCTTTCTTTCTTTTTTTCTTTCAAATGCAGATTGATTTTATTTTTTTTAAAGTCAAAGTTAATTATAAAATATTAAAAAATTTAAAACCATTATTAAACCAACATGACATGAGCACAGAAATGATCAAATAGATTAATGAAATATAATGAACATTCTAGAGACAAATGTATATGTCTGTCTAACAATGTAATATATGAATAAGTTGCTATTTCAAATCAATGGGTAAAATAAGGCTCATTCAACAAATAAGATGCATGAAACACTATTACTTGAAATAAACAAATAGAGAGCCTTATTTCACATGTTATACAAGAAATATTCAGGTGAGGTAAAAATCAATATGTAGAATCTAAGGAGTTTTAGGAGAAAATACAAACTAATATTTTTTTTACCCTGAAGTAAAATATTCAAATCCAGAAGCAATAAAGTAAAATATTGACAATATGACTATATTAAACATTTAAGACTGTATAGTAATATACATATAAAAAAAGTTAAAGGACGAGTAATAGAATAGGAAAGTATTTGCATCACAACTGTAAGAGGGTTAATGGTTTGTTTTTTTAAAGGAATAAATTCTACAAACATTTAATTTAAAAAATGGATAAAAAATACCAAAAAGTCATTTAAAGTTTTTTAAAAATAATAGAAATAGGCAAGAAATATCCAAAAACAGGTTTAGTTTCAACAAATAATAAAGGAACAATTAAAAGAACACATCATTGTCACAATCAGATTAATACGTATTAAAAAATATCGGTAATATCAAGTATTGGTGACTGTGAAAGGAACTGGGTATTCATAGACTCTTTTTCTTCATCTTAAAGCAGTCTCTTTAGTATATTTTGCAGTGCTGGTTTGGTGGAGGTGGATTCTTTTAACCGTCTTTTTTCTGGGAAAGTCCTTATTTTGCCTTCCATTTTCATTGAGAGCCTTGCTGGGTAGAGCAGTCTTGGTTGCAGGCCTTTGCTTTTCATGACTTGGAATATTCTTGCCACTCCCTTCTGGCTTGCAGTGTTTCTGTTGAGAAGTCAGCTGCTAGCCGTATCAGGGCTCCCTTATATGTTACTACCTCTTTCTCCCTTGCTTTCTTTAGGATTCTCTGTTTGTCTTTCCTATTTGTCATTTTAATGATGATGTGTCTTGGAGTGGGTCTCATTGGGTTTCTCTTGAATGGGACCCTCTGTGCTTCCTGGACTTGTGCAACTTTTTCTGTCCTCCAATTAGGGAAGTTTTCCATCATTACTTTTTCAAACAGGCTCTCTATCCTTTCCTCGTCCTCTTCTTCTTGTTTCCCTATTATATGGATATTATTATATTTCAGGTTGTCCTGTGTTTCTCTAAATGCCTCTTCATTCTTTTTGAGTCATTTTTCATTTTCTTGCTCTTTCTGGGAGCTTTATTCTATTTTGTCCTCCAGCTTGCTGATTCGATCCTTGGCTTCATCTAGCCTGCTTTGGATTCCTTCTACTATGTTCTTCAATTCAGAAATTGTATTCATTTCCTCTTGTCTCTTATTGATAGTTTCTGTCCTTTTTCATGCTGATAAAGTTTTTAGTAAGTTCCTCATAGTTTCCCTGTAGTTTTTTTGTAATTCTCTTTGAGCTCACTGAGCTCATTGAGCTTCCTTAGAATCATTTTTTGGAACTCAATATCTGATAGTTTACTTGCTTCTATTTCATTTAGCTCCCTTTTGGGGATTCCTTCTTTCCCTTTGAGTGAGGGGTATTTTTTTGTCTTCCCATTATTTGTGAGACTCTTCTTTTTTGCTTCTGCTTCTTAAGTTGATTTGTCTTGATTTCTTGCCTTTGTGGGGTGAACTTCTATGGCTGGAGACTGCTGTTTTTACTTTCTGAATCTGCCTCTGATGATTTCAGATGTCGTCCCTGTCTGACCTTAGGCAGTCTGTTCAAGACTTCCAGGAATCTACTGTCTGTGGCTGTCTCCTTCAGCTGTTAATCTAGTCACTCCGCACTCAGCAGTCCACCTTAGACAGCTCAGGGCGGGGCGGAGTCCCTCCTGGGTGCGGGGTTATTGGGTCCTCTCATGCTGTTGCCATATGGGGGAGGATTCAGCACTGGGATCCCCCTGGCCACTCTCTCCATTCTCTCCCCAAAACCTCCATCCCCAGCTTTTCCTCAAGTGTCTCCAGACCTCTCTGCACCCCCTTTAGCCAGGGATCTACTATCTGTGGCTGCCACTCTGCACTCAGCAGGTGGCTTAGACAGCACAGGGAGGGGTGGAATCCCACCTGGGAGTGGGGCTATTGGGTCCTCTGATGCTGCTGCCGCTCAGCGGGGAGTGGTCTCTGCCTGAGCAAGATGGCTGCTGCTGCATGGGGGAAGAGTCAGCACTGAGATCCCACTGACTACTCTCTCAATTCTCTCTCCAAAGCCTCTTTCCCCAGTCTCTCCTCATGTGTCTGTATCCCACTGTTCCCCTGCCTTTGCCAGAGACCAGGGTAAGTGGCTGCAAATAAAAACTTATGTTTTAGCCCTTTAAAGGGTTCTTTGCATCTCCAGCCACCAGTCTCTGGCAGAGAGCAACCCTGCCACTTTTTGCAGCTGGCTGTTTTCTGTGTACTTTTTGGGCTCTGGTGCTGTAGGTTAGAGATCCCTGCTTTTGGTTTAGACCCATTCTTCTCAGGGGGATCCAATGCCATTTCAATGTCCTTCTGGTGCTGCCACCCATGGGTGCCCCACCCACCTCCTCGAGTCTCTACCGCACTCCTTACCAGTTAGATTGTGCTAAAGCTGATTCTTCTGTCTCCGAGGTTACAAGGCTCCTGTCTCGCTATTGTTCAGTTGTTCGTTCCAGGTGATTTCTCCACAATTTAGTTGTAATTCCAGGTTGGTCCTTGGAGAAGGTTGTGTGACTTCCATTCACTCCTCCACCGTCTTGATTCTAGCACTGTGATTTTTAATCAGTTACTTATATTCTCTAAGCTCCAGTTTTCTCATCTGATAAAGAAGAATAATTGTGTCTTTTTCATAATATTGTGGCTAGAGTTCATTCTTTCATTAAAAAAATATTTATTGAAACACCTACTATGTGCCTGGTGCTGTTCTAGGCACCTGAGATAACTTTGTGAACAAAACAGACAAGGATTCCTGCCCTTTGTTAATTTAAACTTTAGCAAGGGGAGACAATAATTCAGAAAACATATGTTAGTGAATGACATGGTGTGTTAGACAGGGATAGGTATTATGGAGAAAAAAGCAAGATGGGGGAATTGGGAAAAGTCTAAGTAGGGTACAGTGGATGGGCTAAAGGTTTAAATGGAGTAATTGTAGTTGGCTTTATTGAAGGAGTGACATTTGAGGAAGCACTTGTAAGAGATAAGAGAGATAGATATTTGGATTACAGGCAAGAAAACACCCTTTTAAAGGCTCTAAAGTGGAGACTAACTTTGCATGGGTTAAAGAAGTGTCAGACCAGTGTGGTTGGAACAGGTGAATAATTGGAGTCAAGAATAGCTCTAATATTTTAGCT